AGACACTTGTCAATGAATATGTCCCGTCAGTGCACTTTTATCTCACCTCATTCTAATCACATTTGTTAAAATAATAGAAATGTCGTGTAAAATGTACTAAAATAAAATTCGAAAGCAAAAACAAATAAAATAGATTAATGTGAAACTATGTAAGATAAAATTAATGATGTTGATATTCCATTAACTATAAATAAAAACCTAAAAATACTGACAAACCATCGTTTTCTGATTATCTTGTTATTAAATTTTTGTTATATTTTCACTGAAATTATATCCTAAAAGTTATACGTTCAACAATAAAAACTCTAAATTAGACCATTTATATAGGTACTAATTTCCATTTTTTATCTTTAGAAAATCTTTAGAAAGGAGTAGATAGCTTTTTAAACGATCACAACAACATTTATATATCAACATCAACAATTATATATATCGGCGCTACCAGCTTTAATAACGGATGCGACATCTAAATAATTTGAGGCTGTCATCAATTCTTATTAAACCTCATTAGTATTTATGATTATTGTGTTATTGTTAAAAGTAAAACGAAATCAAGGGAGAATAGAACTATGTTTGAATCTTGTTATAAATATGACGTCTGGACGCACGACGGCGGACTCCAGAATTGAGAATCAGAGTTCAGTGAGTAAATATCATTGAAGTATGTGATTATGAAGAACCTTCGAGAAATACAGGAGCATTTAGAATAATTGAAGTTTCATTTTAAAATATCATCGAACATACTAGAAGAAGTGACATTTGTTACGTCAGCGAGGCTGGCATCCCTCTCGTTTAAAACAACGAATTTGTCATAAATCCGATATATATAACATGATCTAACATCACGTTTAAATTAGCTTTCCTCATCTTTGATTTAAAAACAAAAAAAAAATTGTCAAAGTTAGATGCTGGCGTCATAAAGTTGTCGGCTGATTTGTCAGCGTTAATCCTTGATTGTCAACATTTTATCATTCACTGAACGTCCTCAGCACCATCCTAGCTCTTAGCTTCTAATCGCGACCTTGTTCACTCACAAATCCCTCTTTACATAGTTCAGTATAATACCGTTACACGACATTGGCGAAATCTATAAGGAAACGCCACTAACTAAAGAAGAAGAAGAAAAATTGATGATTGGACGCCAACATAACTAAAATTTTATTTTTATGCGTTCCAAATGACTCCCCCAGATCAGAATAATTTAGTAACGTGGGGTAAAGGAACCAAGTAAACTTGCTACATCTGCGGGGAGGCAGTTGGAACTGTGAAGCATATCCTGTTGGGATGTAGGGTACTCCTGGATAGCGTTATCACGTGTGGGTTCTGGAAATTATACGTTTCGGCGGTTTGACATTCAGGAGCAAGAGAAAATCACAAAGGAGGGCTTAACAGGTTTTGTGAGAGAATTCACTAGGGCTATAAAATAAAACTTCAAGCCTTACTCTGTCTTTACAGCGGCTCTGGATTGGACTATAATGATGGATAGGTATGGACACGGGCGTGCTCTGAGATTTGGGGTACGGTAAGTAGAATTTGCTTGAAAAAAAAAATTTCATCATGATTTCCTCCTCTAAAACGTTAATAAAATTCCCGTGTATAGTCCGTTAGACTTCAGCTGAGCTTTGCATTTGTGTGAGTGAAAGTAAAAGTGCAGTTAGACAAAAAACATTTAGAATTAAATTTTATTATATTTTATATAAATACATAAGAGCTAGAGCTATTCTCAATTTAAAATAACATAAGCAAAACTTGTAAAAGGCAAGATGGAAATATTATGTAAAACAAAATATCAATTAATAAAATTAAAAAAAAAACTATACAAAATCTTCTTCACTTGTGGTTAGAGAACTTTATTTTTTCTCATAAAGCACAATGTTCACTTGAATGAGATGTATTACATAATTCAATTCAAACAACAATTCAGTACAGTAGCAACGAACCATACAACTCAAGAGCAGTTAATCCAAGTGCTCTCTACAATAACCCAATAGTTTCATTCTAAAAATTGCAAACGTTTTTTCATCAAAAACTTCGTCAGGCAAGCCATTATATAGTTTCGCTCCCTCAAACTGTATAGTTTTAATTCCATATCTGGTCCTGGTCTTGGGTAATTCAAGTTTGTGTTTATGTCTCGTGTTATATTTACATGTTTTAGTTTTAAATGTTATTTGTGTGTGTATTGTTTTTGTAAGTATTTTTCTAATTAATATGCATGTTTTATATTTGTATAACTGGTTAATTGATTAATACATTTGTGCTGGTTAATACATACATTTGTTCGTTTATATAATTCTTCAGTTGACATGTAATAATCTAGATGGAACAATGTTTTAGTAATTTATTTTGCGAAATCTGAAAATCCTTTATATTAGTTTTAGATGCACTTCCCCAAATCTCAACAAGATATTCTAATAAAGGTTTTATAAGTTAGTTATATATTATAATACGAATCTTGTGTGGTATACAACGTGATGATCTAAGTATAGCTCCAGTAAGTGAGGTTATTTTTCTTTGTATATAATCTAAATGTGCGTGCCGTGTTAGTTTCGGGTCTAGGATCAGGCCTAGATACTTTTCTTGATTTGATTGTTTGATGGTCAGGTTATTTATCCTCAATGGAGTGAAATTTGGTATTTTCTTATTTTTTGCATGAAAAAGCATGAAAGAGGTCTTTTCAATATTTATACTGAGTAAATTAGATTGAAACCATTCGTGTAGTTTATCTAAATCCTTCTATGCTTTTACTAATAGACTTTCTATAGAATCCTCAAAGTAAAACAAACAAGTGTCGTCTGCATACAGCGATACTTCCCCAAATAAACCTAAGTTAGTAATATCATAGCTTGACATAGCCTTTTCAACATTTAACGTTGCTACCAGTACAAAGGGTGAAGTGAGGAAAGTGCGAGGCGGAGTAAAAACAGAATAAACCGGTTCAAAACTAGAAAAGAACGTGGCATTCCAAAATTTGACATCACACCTACACTATCCGTGTGCATTCACACAAATTCAAAGCTCAGGTTAAATCAAACGCACTATACAGCAGGACTAACATGAGTATTTTTTATGAATCTATCAACTACCTCTGAGCCACGAAAGTACCTTAAAACAATTACGATCTGTTCATCACAGCTTTATGAATCGGAATGTCCAGTGAGATGTAAAGATTCTTATTATTATTATTTGAGAACAACAAACAAGGAAAATAAGAGAACTTATTTTTGTGTACACAACTACGTTGGATACTAATTATAATTATCATAATAATTTTTAATTTATTTTAGTTAAATCTAAACTGTCACACACCTCTTTGTAATTATTTTAATTTCATCATCAAACGACAATTGAATATGTACTCGTTATTAATTTCGTTAAACACACATCACCAGTACAGAGCTCACAAGTATAATTTGTAAATAAATTCTCTAATTAGCTAATTAAACATTATTCACTTCCGCTTAAAAAGACAATAATAACAAAATAGCGAAAAATATATATGACCGTTATATGTACCGATAATTTAAATACTTTCTTAACGTTTGATAATCAACTGGGTTTCTATGACTTTTAAAACGATTAGATTTAAGGAAGCAGTGTATCTCGGTCACTAGCTAATGCAGTTTTTGTACACACACATGCAAAATATTTCCAGCAAACAATACGAAATTTCTAGATCATTCTTGAAATTATTATATATCTATATCTACATAGCGGCACTAGCTGTTAGCAGCGAACGATCGAAAACCTTCGTTTTTACGTAGATAGATGGCACTTTTAACATTTTTATCAAATCCAGAATCAAATGACATATTAAATATCTATAATAATTTGTCTTTAGTGATGTATGATTAAAAGAATGTAGGTAAGATTAAACAATATAGGTTTAGTTGTTGTGTGGGCACTGTAAGCAGTGCTTATTTGCATCTATGGTTTGCAAACAATTCCCAGAACGTACTTCGAAGCCAGCCCTACCTATTAGGGCTGGCTTCACATTTGGTTGTGTAGAGAAGGGACTTTGGACGATGGAGGTCAGCGTTTAATGCGTGTTAGATAGGGACCTCTTAAACCTGTACCTGGGTCGTGAGTCTCAGGCACTGTTGAAGCTCCTCTCCTTGCAATAATGGACCCAGAACTAACATGGTGAATCCATTGAATGATAAGAAGTTTCGTCTTGTAGACAGAACATGTTGCATTTTTGTAATTAAAACAAAGGGTTACAAAAGAAAACAAGTCAAATACAAAAATCAGTTTATTCGATGGAATTTGGAAAAAAATACAAAGAGTCTAAGGCAGACCTCGCGCTAGCTTTGAGCTTTGCACAACCATTAGGACGTACCGCTTACACATACATTGGCAACTTGTGATATGACTTACAATTTTGTTCGATGGAACGACGGTACAAAAGTACACTAAGACTTGGCACAAAAAATAATTATACTATCCGAGATAAAAGTCACTTAATACCCTGCGGGACTGACAAGATTCAAAGTAACTGACGGTATACTTAAGAAAATAACTAAATTATTTAAAGTAAATATTAATAATTAACGACTAACATAAAGACTAACCCCTAGAGATTTAAAACTAATACTGAAACACCGGAATCGACTCGCACACACACGCACGCACGCACACACACTCACACACACACATACACACATACACCTACCACGAGGTACTAGCTTTACACTTAGATTTTTTTTCTTGTTTTTTATATATTTTTTAACAACGCACTGTACAAACAACGGAGGATTACATACTCAGTACACGGACACTTACCACCTATAAGTTCGGGTCGAAAACATTGGGCGGAATAAAGGTCACATAATATGAGAGATATACATACATCTATATACGACTATAAGGAGTATACAAAATTTAGAAACATTAAATTTACCCTTCACTACGGCGAACACGCTCACGGGGACCCGGAATTGACTTGACTGGACCACCGGTCGGGCCACGGACACTTGGAATATTGAAAAACAAAAACATTTCTATCAACGGGAGTTCGTTTCCTCAGTGGAGAGGGTCGCTATGAGCGTGTTCGCTTCCTTCCAACGCGGTGGCGGCGGACGATAACTTTCAAAATGGCAAAATTGCGTCCGAATCACAGCCAAAACTTTTATAAACCTTCCAAAAATATCATCTGAAAAAATTTTGCACAGCACGAAAACATCGACACGCACGCTAACAATAGAGAGTCACAAGCGAATATAATATACACGTTACAACGAGCGAGTTACAGAGAGGCGAGGGTAGAGGGACGGCCGTATATATGAGGAGACCAGCTCGACCCTCGCGCAGACGGGACACGACACGACACGGGGACGGGAACGGGGACCTACATACACTTAACAAATGTACAATGAATACTGACTACAGTCTTCGTCTCCATTTTGAGCAATTAATTGTTTGACGAACCGAGTCGACCTGACGCCGACCCGGAACGAAGCTGTTACCGGCACAAGCTATAATGACACGCAAGGAATGATTCACAGCGCCTTACCTCTAGTGTATATACCGAACCCTGCATCGATACCTGGCAAACCCTGTCGACCTAACAATATGCAGCACCGATGAACACTTAGAGAGAGGGACACCAATAAGGGTGACCTCCGAGATATGTCACGGAGAGGAGACGCGGGGACACTAACATAGAGCTTAATTAAGTACATTGAGACACTGACGGACACAACACATACACACAAACATACACACATCCTCCCTGCGACTGAGGCTTCACCGGCTGGTCACTATCAGTCTTTAGTGTCATTGACAGAGATAAAGGATACTGACTCTACTACAGAACCTTACATGAGAATATCCACCTCGTCAGTCACCAGTCGCTGGTTCCATTCAGAATGTCACCGTCAAGAGATATGTCAGAAACCTTATAGGATACACGTAGGGTCGTCGGGTGTGAGGGTGGTCTACTTGTCGGTCGTCTACTTGTGTTCCGGGTGGTGGATGGGGGCGGGCGGCGCGTGCTGCGCGGGGGGCGGCGCCGGGCCGGCCGGGGGGGGCGCCGGGCCCAGCGCGTGAGGCGGCGGGGCGAACTGCGGCGGGTAGAACGGCTGCACGGGCGCGTACTCCACGCCCTCCTCGTAGGGCACGTAGCCCATGCCGCCCATACCGCCCATGCCGCTCATCATGCCCATCATGGCTGGAAATGTGAGAACATTTGTTAGATTCCACTTTAAGTTATGGTAATTGTTAAAAATTAAGTTTGACAAACGAAGCTAGCATCCACACTATCTCTAAATGAGATCTAAGATTTTCGCGAGTACTCATTTAAGTGAACCTAATATATTTGTATCCACTACGCGTTTTTTTTATTTTTGACTATAAACTAAATACTCCTGACGTTTCGGTTACTTTACAGCAACCGTGATCACGGGCACACGAGATGTATCTCAAACGCTGGAAACTTTAGTATGAAACTACCAGCCTATAGACTTGAGCTTTATCTTGGTTTATAAACGTCGTATCTAGATGTTCAAAAAAGTATTATAATTTTATAATCATAAAAATTACAACATTAAAACTTATTCGTTTGATATTTGATATTCATTTTACTAGTAACACCATCTGTTACATAACTATATATAATAAACATCACTGTAACACAAGTAATCTCAACACTCAAGATAGTTAATAATAGTTATTTATTTCATTAACACCGGAACTCACTAAGAATGATCTTATAAAACAGCGACTTCCTGACATCCGCTATATCCAAGTGGCGTCAGAATAAAAATAAATAAATTAAATTCCGAGTTATTTCGCCGTGAAACAGATATATTTTTACTTTTAATTTTGTATAGTTTGTTATGTTACAACATTGTCACAATGCTATAAAATCTGTAAGACTGTACTAAATAATAAAATGATAATCAGAGCAAGAAGTCATGAATAGTTCTGGCATTTTTCGATATATTTTTCTAGCTAATTGCCAAACAGATCAAACCAAGATTTTTAACATTTATATAATATAATTACCAAGAATTCTACATATACTCACCAGGTTCAGAATCGATGGGGTAATAGGGAACTGAGTACAGCGGCGGAGGGTACAGGTAGGGGAAAGGAACCAGGGGCTCCACGCACTCATCGCCCAGACCTACGCCCACGCCCACGCCGCCCACGCCGCCGGCGCCCATGCCGCCCATGTACTGCACGCGACCGTCCACGTGCGAGTTGCGACTGAGGGATGACACATAGTTAATATATTGTTTTTATAGTTTTTTAATAATCTGGGGCTTAAGTTACTCTAAATTACTCATTACACTTGCGTTAACTTACACTATATTTTGTTATACCTCATACAGGTAACAAAAGTATTCAGTGAATACTTGATTTAGGTTTATTTTCATGGACAAAGTAACTAAACCAAGGTGTTATATATACTGACCGGTTGTTGGGACCCTTGTTGGGCATGTTGTTGTTGTTGTGGCCCTTGTTCTGATTCCCGTCCTGGTTGTTGTTGCGTTTGAACCTACACACGGAAACAATCACATCCAATATATATATATATATATATGTACTTATATAGTACATTGCCGAATGATCAAGACACACATATCTAATAATAATAAATAAATAAATAAACTTTATTGACTCAAGGATTACATAACAATCAAGTTGCAAGGGCCCCTGTACTAGGTGCAAACCCGTATTACTGGGTGTTGGTAGAAACTCAACAATAATTTTGTTACACAGATTTATAGTATTATCCTATTAAGCAGTGTAATTAATTTTATAAAATAACTAGAAAAGTGTGTGTGTGTGTGTATGAAATATAGTGTAAGTGAAGCTGACCTCGGTCCAACGAGTGGCCTCTGCGGGTTGCCCTTCAGCGGAGGCGGCTTGTCCTTCTTGTGATCAAGAGAAACAGCGGCCATGTCCTGGGTCAGGTCGCGCGGCGAGTAGTGTCTGTGGGCGGGCGGCTGAGGCGGCTGGGCGGGCGGCTGAGGCGCTCCGTACGCCGCCCAGACGCACTCCACGCCCACGTTGAAGTAGAACCGCAGAGTGGCCATGTCGTTCATGGGCAGGTCGGCGCCGCTTGGCTGCAGGCTCTTGTAGGCGTGCGGGTTGACGCCTGGCGGAGGAGGAGGGGGCGCGTGGGGCGCGCACCATACTACGGACTTCATCCCGCACCCGTAGGGGGCGCAGTAACCCACACCGCCCACGCCCACGCCGCCCACACCGCCCACGCCCACCGGAGGGACGGATGGCATCGCACCTATGATTACAAAACAATTAAGCTATTTTCTTCATGACTTTATTATGACTTATTCAGGGAGTTGTTCCGTAAAATCCGTGTCTCATACAGAAATAAATATATTTGAGTACTTTACGTCCTTCAACTCTTACAGGTTGAGTACAGTATAGTTTTCAGACAGAAAGTGAGCTGTTCTTAATATTATCATAAATAAGTTAACTAGCCGTCAGCGACATCTATCGTGTGTGACACGACTTCATGCTGTATACAAATACAAGTATCACGAGCGACATGGGATATACGACTTAGTTATATTTTCTAATATATCCCTATATCTAACCTACGCTGTGGGAAATTCTCATCCAAATCCGTTCAATATATATTACAGATACCCTCGCAAATCTATTAATTAGTATAGTATATGTTCGTCTCACCGTTGTATGCGTGCTGGTATGCGGGCGCGGCGGGAGTGGAGGCGCGCGCGTGAGACACCATCTCGCCGCTGGGAGCCTGCTGCAACACACATAAAAAAAATTCTTTATTTTTCTTTAACAAATTTGTACTTAAATATAAAGTTATTGGAGTCTCCTTTTAAGCATATGAAAAGCCTGTGCCAGGAACCACATGGTTAAGACATACACTCGACATAACATTATAAATAAACTAGCAATACCTCCTAATTACATCTGAATTAAATTTTTTAAGTTTTTTTTTAAATATTTCATACACTTACTTGTTCCATATTGTATCTACTACTGACAAGAACACTTTATACTTGTGACACAAAGAGTGCTGCACTCAGTCAATACTGACTGATAACTAATAAGCACTCAATATTATTAAGCTCATGTATTAATGAAGTCCATTAGTTAATCAACTATAGAACATCGTTATAAAACCTGATTGTGTATCAGTCATTAACAATTAGCCATCATTAGTGTGTGGGGCCCGGGCTGGGTACATCATATATAACAACAAAGTCTGTTGTTACCTGATGGCTGTTGTCGCCGGTCCCGTTGTTGTGGGGCATGTCGTGGGGCGGAGCGCCCGCCGGCCGGCAGTCCACCATGAGGGGAAGTGCTTTTACCTCAACCTGAAAATATATTCCTCTATAGCAATGACTGACACCACTCACACTGACCCCAAACGAATTACCTTCTTACTTACACCTTAGTAGGTTGACTAAAGTTTAAATTAGTATCTAAAACACTGAATATACATACAAATAAATTGTACAGAATAAACAACCATCACCACTGAGGGTACGAATGTTCATATTCGTATGACAAAATTAATTATTTATTACCACCACAACAATAAAACTACAAAATGACATATACATACTATAAAGACAACAACTACATACATCTACAACTAGAGCACTACGATAGCCACGATATGGATTTAAGAGCATCTCACTTGTTTGGCGAAAAGTAACAGAGTTCAGGTAATAAAAAAAAAAAACACTCGATGGATAATAAATATTTATTGTGACAACAGATAAACAAGTGACATGCTTAGAGACTGTCGGACCTAACTACCGCTAGCTAACTAACAGGCATCGGTTGGAAATTGATAAAGTCCGTGTGGGGGTAGCTGTAGACTCCCTGACAGTACAGGGGCAGGTCGTGACCCTCGGCCTCCTTGTCGCTCCCGGACTCCCTGTGACCCTTATCAGACTCCTCCTTCGTCTTCTTGGCCCTCAATCCTTGCTTCCGTGTGATATTGCCTGATATGGAATGATAAACAGCTTTGCATGATACCGAGAGGACGGCTCCACAATATTATTCGTATGAATTATACATGCAGTCGACCGAGGTCTCGGTCACTGACTATGTTGGAGATGATAGTGCACTAAGGGTGTCGCTAGCATGACCCATAGAAATAATAAAATGTTCGACTAAGTAGTGTAACGATAGTAGTGTGACAGGCGGGTGGCGCACCTATTTGCTGCAACATTTGGCTCAAGTTGAGTATCTGGGAGTTGGTGCGGGAGTATCTATAGGGAGGTGCCCAGGGTTTGATCTGCTCTACCGGCAGCGGCTCGAGCCGGTCCAGGTCCACGAGCCTCTTCTCGCCCAGCTCCTCCACGAACACCAGGCAGGGTCCGTCGGGCCGCATCTCCTGTATGTGGCAGTGGTAGGGCGCGGACTGCTCGGCCTCCAGCCTACACAGACACTTGACGCCCACTTGCAGCGTGCTGCCGTCGCAGTACCGCGCGCCGTAGCGGAGCTCTGCAAACATACCGGCCGTCACTAGTGACCTAACAAGGACTACATACGACGGACCTACCTCTGCGCAGCTCGCTCCACACGTCGAACTCTATGTTGCGGTATATGTCGGGGTCCAGCGCCTTGGCCACCTTGTAGGGGAAGGGCGTGATGCCGTTCTCCAGCAGGTCCTTGGCGCTGTTCACGTTCAGACAGTTCATGCACACGTTCTCCAGCTGGATGAGGCTCCGGTTGAACACGAAGATGCTCAGAGACTCCTTGAGCAGGCTGGCCCTCTCCAGGTCTTGTGTGTGGTGTTTACACTTGAGGGCCAGTGCATTATTATTTCTGTCCTTGTCGTCCTCGCTCGGCGCCTCTATAAAGATCTTCGCTCTCTCTTTCTGTTTTTTACGTCGTTCGACATTTTCCGACATGAAATATTCTATGTGGTTAGTCGGGACCTTATCGTGTAGCATTTTATCTACGGCGTACGGCAGGTCTTTGAGCTGGTACACCCCGTCATATAGTATCTCATATACCAACGCTACAAACAGTGACAACTTTGAGTTTCTGCTCTCATATGGATAAATAAATAACTTTATTGTTCTTACCATTCATATCAAATATTGTAAGCATTAAATAGAAACAAGTTTATTTAATAATATAGTACACAGTAAATGATTCCTACTTTTCATTTAAAATGATTTGCATTCACCCGTCCACATACATTCTTTGTTCCCAAAATGAAAACCAAAGATTATATAACAATAAAGAAATTTCATCATTATAAGAATTAAATCTATGAATAAAACTTATCCTATTCTCACTTAATATTCCAAAAGATTCTTTTCTATATTAATAATTTGTTTAGTTATAATAAAATATATCAATGTGAGATTGTTTAATCAAATATACACACATTCAGACAGAATTCTTTAAGAGGGATTTTAAAGGGTCAAAAGTTCACTTACACTGACAGAAAGATGATGCATTAATGAAATCTTTAGTGTAAACGGCATCAAAATGTTTAGTGTCGGGGGAGTAGAACAGGTAAGTGGTGTTGCCATAGCCGTTACAGACTTTAGTCTGAGGACCTTTGTTAGCTTCAAATATAACAAAATCACGTCTGGAAATGTTTAAAGCAGCTATGTATGTGTGTACATGTATATATTCATTTATTATAAATCAAAAGTGATGTTTCAAAAATTACCTTCAGGAATTTTGCATTGTAAAGGTTAATCAAAATAATAATATAACTTAAAATCATTTTCAATATTTTTGTCTTAATTGTATGCAGCAGTATATTTCAATATAATGATCATTTCTATTTTGTAAGAGTGGAGAAAGTTGGTAAATAAAATAACATTACTAAGCTTACCTATAAAGATGGCTCATGGCCGATATCTCAATGGGACCACCCCATTCTGATGGGTTAGACATCTCTTTAAGGTAATTGTCAAATGGACAAGACAATGACTATAAACAAAACATAACATTTTATATAACATGAGAATGTAATTTAAAGCCAATATGTATTGAAAGGAGATTGAATTCACCCTACCCCTTCAAAGAGGTGGCGATGCGCGGCCATGAACTGAACGCAGTCCAGGCGCACTTTGTGAAAATATCTCTGAGTGTTATAAACGTTTTCGGACACGGCTCTAAACAGACAACTGGAGTCGCGGGCCGTATGCTTACGAAAAAAACCCATTTCATCGAGCCAACGGTCCGGCTCAGAAGAACGTTTATGTATTTTCCACGGCCCGCGGCATCGGATCGGGGAAGGCGACATTGTTAAACACTGCTAACGATCTGAAGGTAAACAAAAACAAATAATTCTACTCGACTATCAGAAATTAACAAGTCAATAACAAAATAAATCGTCGCATGTAACATAGAATTATTAATCCGTCATTGATCCGCAAAACCATATCGTAGCTAAACTGCAGAATGCAAATGGTTGTTTTGCTGTCTACGATACACAAACACGTGCAGATATAATAGCACATACGATGCGATATATTGATATGAAAGCACTTACCGAAATAATTGACTCCAACAGTCAGCATCAGTATTAAACTTTTGGAAAGAAATTCGATATTTTAGGAATACCGACTGAGAAAAAACTGCACGTGCCAAAACCAACCGTCAAGAGCCGGCGGGAAGGGAAAATCAAAATATATCAGAATAGGTTCAAAATGCCAATTTGCAAAATTGTTATGTTTCTACAGATAATAACAACATTGTCTAGCACCTGCAGATTTAGATTATCTGTGGAATGTGTTCTTTAAGATTATCTGCAACATTTCACATTTTATTATAAATCAGTATAATATTTGTAAAAAGTAGTAAATTAAAAGAGAAGATGTTGAAAAACTTATTTTTAATGTTTTTTTTTTAACATGAGATTTTTATTTGTATTAAATACTAAATTTTTTTATAAGATTTAAGTAGTTCAAATAGACGAATAAATAAATCGATTATTTATTAATGCAATAGTCGCCATTTGCATAGAATTATTAATTCGTATTCTAGAAAATTTTGCCAAAAGTTTAAAACCTGAATTCGGTACTTATCTATTATCATTACATACCATCATAATGTTGAAGATGGTTTAAACACACAAACACACCATTTAAGATTATTATAATGACTTTCACAGGAGAACCTTAATTTCAATCAACATATCAGTAACAACTGCAAATATTACATAATTGACTTTTGCATGAGCCATGCGCATTGTGATCTTCAAGTGCAATATACCTAACAGTTACACGCCCAAAGCTTGAAGCGCTTGCATATGTAAGGATTTAAATTTTAAAATAATAACGTATAAATCGTGTTTTATTAAGAAAATTTATTGAGTTTTTTAAAAAAAAGAGTTAGAAAATGCAATAAATATAATTTTCTATATTAATTCAACGGATTTTTCATATTAAGGTGTTTATTTGACATTTCTTATTCATATTGAGACACCATCTTAAGTTTAAAGTTTTTTTCGTAGGGTGGACATTGACATTCATTTTAAGATATAATTTCAATAATAATGACATATAAATTAAATTTAAATTTACGGACATATACGTGTAGGTATTATTTTATATTTTACGGGCAGACGAGATGAAACTGTCCCTCGACACTTACATATCGTATCCCCGTGATCGGGATAGCTGTTTTGAAAACTTCAGATACCTAGATCATCTCTCGTAATTCTAGATATGAATTAATAGTAACAAAGTACTGGGTAATGTTTATGAAACGATTTTTATGTTGGAATTTTAAGAATACGTTGGCCGTTGTCAAATATATGAAGTGTAGAGATTTTGACAAACAAAGAAATTTAGTTAATGAAAACCATGACCATTTAGTAGAAGCACATATTTTCTGGTATTAAACAAGTTTCAGTTTGTTACCAAATAAATAATTTATTGCAATATTTATAAAAAGAATACTTTTAATATATTTTTAATTCAAAATGTCTTGTTTTAAGCATCTTGCTCTGACATTATGTTGTGTGTAGAATTTGGGTTGGTAAAAAAAAAGAAATATTTTTTTATTCTATATTTAGAAAAAGCACCGTCTGTAAAACATACAAAATTTTTGTTAAAAATGTTTTATTGGCATCTTTAGCGTTATATAAAATTGAAAAAATGTGTTTATGAATATGGATATAATATGTAATACGACAGTATAAAAAATTATTGTTCGCTCTTTATTATAAAAACACAATTATTGCTTTAAAATTAGACAATCTTAGCTTTGTTGAGCATCAGGTATAGTCTGCATCGTCCGATCAAGACTATCATACATATAAATAAAACAATTTAGATCCAAAATTATCGGTAACTACACTCCTAAATAAACTGACCAGAGGCGTTATGAATCTCGAATAAAACTTACATTAACATAAAGTACAGAGAACACAAGCACGAGGAAGTATCAATGAAAAAATCGAATCGCGGAGTGCAGTGTGTTCCCAACTTAAATAAAATCAGTACACAATCTTAAAATTTAATACGTCTCATTATAAATAAAAGAAAAATGCTCATAAAATACACTTATTACATATATATATCATTAAAAGTGACATAGAAAATTTGGTTCCTACGTTCTAATGATAGGCCCGGTCGGCGTCAGTCTGACGCGTTGACATTGTCAGTTGACAGGTGACAGTTATTAAGGGCAGCGCCGACCGGTAGTATAAAACTTATATCGAGTCTAAAATACGGCGATACTAGCGTTATATAGTTGCGTTATAAATATGCGTGAGTTCAGGCAGTTTTCTCCTGCTCGATGACGTCCTTGGTGGGTAGCGGGTTCTTCTCGCAAGTCTCGGTGTGCTTCAACTTGGTCGGGTCGAAGTTCTCGATGCCGTTCAGGAATTTGTTCTTCTCCTTTTCCGCCTCGATGGCTGTATAGATGTCAAAAATTAGTTTTGGTTGCAGATATTTGATGTGATCGTACGTTATCAGAATGTTATTTAAATTCAGGACATAGAATATGTTGTGTTTATTCAGCAAAACAGTAAAGAAATGCGTTGCAAAAAACAAAACTATATATAACACGTACAATGTTGCCATGCTACAATGCATAAAGGTAAAAGGTATTATATGTAAATAAAATCTACTGTCCCTGAGCTAGGTATAAACCTGTATTTCAGGCAATCCGCGTTAACACTTTGGAGCACAGCTAGTTTTAATATAAATCCACACAAAAATAAAGATACAATTAATCCTACTAATATTACAGTTGCGAAAGTTTGTGTATGTTTGTTACTTCTTCACGCTCAAACGCTTGAAGCGATTTTGATATAATTTTGTATACAGGCAACTGACGTCCAGGGATAATACATAGGCTACTTTACATCTCGGAAATGCGCGGGTAACACCTAGTAATAAATAAAATCAAGCTTAAGCAAAGCATCATCAAACCTTCCATGGGCGGCAGCGGGTTCTTCTCCTCTGTGTGTGCGTGTTTCATCTGGGTCTTGTCGAAGTGTTCCACTCCGTCCAGCAGGTTCTGGTGCTGCTTCTCAGCTGCCACGACTAAGCCGTGCGTGCAATACGTTAAGCATACATACATACATGCGAGTATATACGGGGAATTATATCTAGCGTGCTGTGACGATGACGTCATGCGAGGCAGACTACGAGGTTACTTTGATCATTAACTCTTTTAGTCGAGTACAAACTCATTACATATGAAGTATAGATATTAAATAATAAAATGCCAAACAAAATATTAAATCATATCTATGGTTCATACCATCCTTGTCAGGTAGTGGGTTCTTTTCCTGGGTCTCCGTATGCTTCAGCTGGCTGGAATCAAACTTCTCAATGCCGTCGAACAGAGATTTTTGAGTCTTTTCAGTGGCGACATCTGTAAACAAACGGAATTTAACATTGAGTTATAAAACTCCATAGGACATACGACAGTGTGATGAGACAGCTGTTAATACAACATGCCTGTTACATATTTTAGTATATAAACCACACGTTAAATCATAATTATTAATATGAACGCAGTTAATGCGATTTATAAAGCGTCGTCTGTATCAAGCGCACTCAGCTCGACTCCCGCGACCTGTACCTATAGCGTTGGGTAGAATGTTCTTTTCGACGGTTTCCGTCTTCTTAAGAGACGAACTCTGAAAATGTTCTAAGTCTTGCAGCAGCGCTGTGTGCTGTTTTTCTTGTGCTACGTCTGTTATCAGAATAACCTTTTTATATACTAAATTTAAATATCAAATGGTTTTATTAAATTAAACTGATTCCCGATACTTTTTACTAAAATATGTATGGTAATTTTATTCACAATATAAAGCTTATATTGATATATTTGTACCTTAACGTGTTACAAAAATATTTATAAATACAGTCGTTACTTATCATTATACAAAATAAAACTATGTATCGAGTGCGATATTGGCTGTACGTGACATACATAATGAATGTCTTATCAGTTTTTTGTATTTATATAAAATGTTATATATAGTATTATTTCCTGTGAGATCTCTTATGCTGCTGTAAATCATGATAGTTACCTTCAGCAGAGGGCAGCACTATCTTCTCATTAGTGTCCACGTCTCTGAGGCAGCTAGGGTTGAAGGCTTCCAATTGACTCTTGAGGTCGGTGGCCACTTTTGGCAGGTCCTTGAGGGCGGGGGTGTCGCTCACTGAACACGCCATCTTTGAGATCTGTTGAATAATAGATAATTATTAAAATGACAGTTACTTCCGGTCAATTGATATCACTGTAGATTGGAGATACATAGTTGAAGTATTTATTTTTTATTTCCAAGAAAGGCTTACATAATATATGTAGGTAATTTTAAGTTTATCCAAAAAAGGGTGGTGAAGTGGTTTGTGTCGTAAACAGTTCCAACATGGTTCAAATGTTTACATAAGTAAGCTACAGGCTCACATTAACAACATAAGACTAAGTTGTCTATTTTTGTAACGTTAAAATAAACAAATGTTTTAAATTTAATATCCTCATTTTAAGGTTCTCTTATTTAATATTTTCCTCACATTTTTATTATCAATATAACAGTAAGTATTCCTTAGCGCGCCGCTTCCCGCCCGCAAGGCGCCACTGACTCATACCTAACTATCCTTTTTAAATGACTATCAACACATTACATGGACACACGACCAGTGGACGTAACCCACCGGTCACCGGTCCGACGAGTTGTTTTTAAACATATAAAATGTGTTATCGTGATTTCATGCAACATCGACTTTCTTGCGAAAACAACACAAATATTATTCACACGATCCGGTGTTTCTGGTTACCGAGCAAAAAAATTACATAAAGCCGACGAATAAAAACTTTTTTTGAATAATTATTGTTTATGAAAAAAAAAAAAATATTTGAAAATAGAATATGATATGCGTGGATCATCGCTTAGGTGCTGCCACGCGCGGTATGAATACGAAGTGTGATTGTTGTCTGTCGATGGACATATAATGTATACCAGGGCTGTCCAAGCCATGGCCCGCGGGCCGCGAGCGGCCCCCGGTTCGGATTATTGCGGCCCGCAGGATCTTTTTTATATATTCTTTGTTTTAAAACATCAATGAGCAAAATTATTTTTATCGCGATGAAATTCCAATTTTTTAAAGGGTATGTTCGATCACGTCGCACACATCATTTTTTTGGACAACCTCAAATACATAGACGAAATAATCGTCGAATTCGAGCGACGTTTTGCAGATTTTCAAAAAATGTAGAGTGATATAGCACTCTTCACTAATCTATTGACGATTGCAGTTGAGACTATGAAGATTGATTATCAACTAGAACTGTGTGATCTGCAATAAGACCCCTTTTCCAAGGTCAGAACAGAAACAGGGATATATTTTTTTAAGCTCATCGCTGAACGTTTCCCGAAACTGGCGAATTTCGGGCAAAAAATGGACCCGATGATGGGCAGTACCTACCTTTGTGAGAGTGCATATTCGACAATGAAGCTAATTAAATCGAAATACAGGTCTTCAATGACAGATACTTTACTTAAACATGCACTGCGCCTAGCTACTACTAATATTGAGGTTGATATTGACAAAATTATAAAAGACAAATTAATGGAAAAGTAGTTAATAAAATTACGATATTATTATTACGAGCATTTTATTTTTATAAATATTTTGCGGCCCACCAATGTATTTAATCAATTTTATTGGCCCTCGGTCCCATTTAGTTTGGACACCCCTGATGTATACCAAATGAGAATACATCCTGTTAGCAAAACAATCATTCATGAAGGGAGGATGTCGAGGGTGAGGAAAAAATAATCACCCATTCAACAAAACTACGAGGAAGGTATCACATGAACATTCTAGAAACGTCCTTTACAGATGATTTAAAAAAATGGAGGTTTATAAAAATGCTTGAAGTTGCAGTGAGTTCACAAATTTCTCTTATAGGTTTAAAGTTTTATTACTTTTATACAGTTGCATTAATATATAATTGATTTAAGACCGTGTAGAACGTATTTTATTTTTGAAATAATAAATATATCATTACGTCATCACATATTGTCATGTTATTGACACTTCATAATAAAAATACGTCATCTTTTATGCGTGAGTGAATTCCAGTGAATTAATTTAAAGTTCTTGATGCCCACTTTAGTCATTTCACAATAGTTTGAAAAAGCTAATTTTAAATAATATGTTTATGTTTTTATAAACTTGTATGATAATAAATAATAATATCATTGCATCGATAAAATGCTTTCTCTGAAGTTATTCCATACAGCTTGTTGACCGTGCACATGCTCATAATTATTATTATAGCTTGTACATCTAAATACTAAATATCTTCAGTAATGAGTGAGTCACACACGCACACTAAGTTCTTGAATCTGCGTATATTATGTGTACGCGGCTCTAACAACGCCTGGCTCATATTTTTTATGTATATTTATTTAAATTATTATTTTTATAAAAAAGTACTTCTTTTTAAATCGTTTATCAATCAGTGAAAGGTGCGTTAGAGTTATTGAGCCATTTCAGAGATTACCAAGAACAAACAGAAAGACGGACGAAAAGTAAAAAAGATAGGCATATTAATTACGTATACATTCATAAAAAGTTATAAAAACTGGTTATTTAGACATTAAAAATAAACAATACAATTAATTTTGTATATATTGTTGAGGTAACTGTACGTATCTAGTAGACGCTCTAGATGCGGTCTGATGCACTGCGTCTCATAATACGCGCTTTGACCCTGATTCATTTATAATTTCACATAATCCATATTTTAATATTAAATGTTGCTACCCAATATAATTCTAGTATTTCCTTTTTATCTAAGGGGCCATCCATAAAGTACGTCACACTAATTTCATGAGTTTTTGAGCCCTCCCCCGTCCTTGTCACAAGTGGTCACATTTCTGAGACCCCCCCCTCCCTAGTGTGACGTCACATGTTTTGCAATTTAACATCGAAAAATTATTATATTAAAGCAGCAGTTCCGAAATTAGTATTATCTCCATTTAAATTGAGTATTTTTTTATGAAAACAACAAAATATCAATTATTTGAAACAATAATAAAAAAATAAACTAATGAATATAAAGAAAAAGAAACTCAATCATCTTCAGTCCATGGACTTTGAACCCAGTCCTTTAAATTATTTATAACTGGCATGGCAGTCACAACTCACAGTCATACTCAGTACTGTGCCTGCACTCTCAAAGTTTCGTTTTCCAAGTCCAGGATAGTAGTTTTATTACTGGAATCGAGATGTGAACCGAAATTATCGTATTTTAATACAACACCAGTAAGTTCACGACTAAGAGGTGCCATTCATCGTTCTACTCTGTTAAAGCACTTCTTCCTGGGGCATTTGTGGCAATGTAAACAGCATCCAAATGAAAATCTTTAAAATGTTGTATAGCTGAAATTAATAGTAGATTTTGAAATGTGATGTCACGAAACTTAGGACCCCTCCCACCCCTTGTCACACCATGTCACACTTTGTCGACTCCCTCCCCCCCACTTTACGTGTGACGTACTTTATGGATGGCCCCTAAGGTGACTAAGATAGTTTACCTGGTGTCATCGCTGATTGTGTTTCAATTCCGCAATCAATAGGTAAACAGCCGGAGTAATATAATATTTACGTTTCTAGGAAACACGAATGTTACGTGTAAATGTAAAATATACGACAGTTCTCAACTTGAGATGGAACATTTTGATCTAAGAATTAGTTTGGATTTAACGTTAAAACCGCTATGAGGAGTCTTAATTTGCGATTAAAGTTTTTGGCATGATCGTGACATAGTTCATAAAAATTAATATTTACAAGCACATATTTGGAAAGAATAAGTAAATTAAGAACATGTTTAGATTTAACAATGGCGACCATCTGTCATGTACAAATAAAATCAACGATTGTATATTATATAAACGGTACAGCGTGTCATGGCTTTCCTCACCATAAATGGCCGGACCGAGGACAGGACAAGTAAGTGGCTTAAATATAGAGATAAAAAATATCAACACTCACCATATGGTCGCACAGAGCTTTCCTTGTGAGATAAGAGACTCGTGAGTCATGGTGAAGTATGTACGATGACTGAGCGGTCGTTAAAACTAACTAAAGATAAAAAGTTTCACTGCATTCGAAACATATTTGAGCAGACAACGATTTATCGATCAATAAAGGATTGGCGCGTCGGAGGGGATCGAGCGAGGGTGCCGGGGGCCGGGGGAAGGGGACGGGGGCCCGCGTGGGTTGAGCAAGGAGAGGGTTGCCTGTACTTATAAACATTAATAATTTGCATACACACTTGCAAACATTTCTTTACATCCTAACAAATCGATTATAGCGTTAACGAACAAAGAATGCGTTTGAATGTAACGTGAACACTACATGTACAGCGACGCTAATATATCAACGTTGATTTATTATTTCCTGTTATTTCAAAGTAATTTTTAGGATTTAAGGCTTGACATTTGCGTGCATCAAATCATTCACCGGGCAGCCATATTTATAAATATTAAGATTAATTCAAATTGCATATCAAATTAATACTTTTAATATATTTCAAAATAATTAAGAACAGTTATTTTAATGATTATAGCAGAACGTAGTCTTTAATCACATCCCCATGTCAGATAGAAAGTTAGAATTATTATAATTTCACCTCAAGTTTAATCTCCATACAGTCTCAGATTATTGAACCTAACTTTCAGTGTGCCAACAGACAGCCGTAAGTCTCATCTGTAGTGTATAATCCAACTTCTAAGCTATATAACGTGGCAGTAATGTACAGTAATAGTCATAAATCCCCGCGTCTGAGCCGTTACTACATTTGACTCCATATATCCGCCATCTTAGACCTGCGCAGTGACCTTGAGTCTAAATATAAAATGCATTCCTGACCGTCGTGATCTGTGATTCTCTAGCCTCGTCTAGGACGGCCATACTGTTCAACACTACTCAAAGGATGCATGACTTTACGCCATTTATGGAAATACTGATGTAGGTCGGCTTGTACCGCAGCCGGCCGTGTCCAACCTTGGATGCACTTATTGTAATGCTATCGGTATATGTAACGATTTACAGCAATTATTCTCCATTTAGTCAAACATGTTCATTAGTAGTTTCTCCGTAAAAAAAATAAAATATCTTTAATAGAAATGTAATAAATCTCAAAAATTTATATTCTTGTA